GTCATCCTTTCTAATCCACCAAACCCCCCAAACACCAACTTTTCTATTCCAATTTCTTCATAACAGCGAGTGCTATTCAGACTCAGAGGAAACCATGTGTATGTGTCTGTCAGATCGCCTGTTCAAGGTTGGAGTGTCTGCAAAACTGCTGAAAACATTTGCATATTTCATGTTTGGCGACCTGCAACGGCCAAAACTTAAAGTAAAGAAAACAAACTACACAGATCTGTGTGTATATGTGTGTGTGTATGTGTGTGTGTGTGTGTGTGTGTGTGTGTGTGTGTGTGTGTGTGTAAGTGAGAGTGGCAGGGCATGCTGAGGTAGATTAATACCGCTGCTCAGAGGGGGGTTCCTCCATTCAGGGCTGACTGATGTGCGTCCCAAATTGATTTATGAAAACGGCCCTTAATCAATTATGTGTGGAGAAAGAGGGAGAGAGAGAGAGAAAAGGAGGGAAGAAGAAAGAGAGGATCGATGGGGGGTAGAGTGGGAAATAAAGAGGACAGAGAGGATGAAACTGCAGAGGGAAAAGTGTGTGAATGATGCTGCTCTGCTGAGGAATGTGTCTAATGGATGTCAGTTTATGCCACAGGTGTCCAACATGGTCCATGTGATGGTTTGTCAAGTAAAATACAAAGCACTGTGGCTGATCCTGATGTATGTAGCCAATTCTTTAGACAACACACTGAGCATGCTCCATCTTTAACATTAATCTCCACCTGCAGCATTCATAAAACATGCAAAGGCCTTGGGAAATAACAGTATGTTGATACATTGGTCTTATTTTTCAAGAAAAAGAAAGGGGTAAAAGTTAAGAAAATGCACGCTTGCTCCGCCTAATAACTACGTGTGGATGGACACTAGTAGAAGCAGTAAGGGTTGTATTTGTGCAGCAGTGTAATGTGGTTTTTGTAGTAATAATGGTCCGGTTTTCGACCGGGGGGGGGAGCAGCAGAGTAGAGTTGTTTAAAAAGCCCTTCCCCTGCTTTGCCCATTGTGCCTGAGACAGGGGTGTGTGGGGGAAGTGGGGGGTCACGCTGAGAGCTCGTTTCTCCTGCCTGTCAGAACTCTATCTGGGATCCAGCCGGAACTAATCAACTCCAATAGGCCTCCCCATTACCCAGGGTGCAATGGGCCACGGGCTAGGGGCTGGCCGGTGGGAAAAGCAGAGGAGGAGAAGGGAGAGAACCCCCCCCACCCCTACCCCCACCCCCACCCCCTGCACACACCCACCCACACCCACTACCACTATCCCATCACACACGCAAACACTCCATACTGCACCAGCCCGTGCTGCACACACAACGCTCCCACTGTTTCACACTGAAGCAATAATAAACACTTGCAATAATATTTTCACAGCAAGCACTAGCCTGCTTCAGATCAGAACCTTGCACAGCTGTGGAGTACACTCCTACGCACATGGGCAACCCTCACATGCATACACAGACACACATGCAAACACGCACATTCACAGTTTCCTTGTCACGCACATGTCACACCATGCTGATGCTATAACTTGAGAGACATTTTAAAGGCACGTTTGTTAAGAAATCAGCAGAATTAATTCAGAAACTGGTTTCCACACATATCAACAAACTGCATCTGCATCAAAACAAACTCACTTACAGTATAAAGACTGCGATCATCAGACATCAGTATGTTTATAACGTCCCTGTGGCTTGGGTGGCAGTGAAACCATTAAGGTTTCACAATAACTGTGACAATTAAAGTTAATCTAATTTATTTTAAAGCTTTTTATTTGTTTGTCATACTTATTTTGAAAGTTGGGAAAATAATGCATCGTGTACTTGCTGAACCACAGTGCTATTATTCTTCTTAAATAAAAAAAAACAAAAAACATTTGATCTTGTTGGTTTTGATATTGAAGCTGTCATATATTTTACAATCTTTCCATTTTTGTTTGAAAACTAATAAAATATTATGAAAAAAAGAAAGAAAGGAAATTGGGAAAAACTCCTCTAGACCCAAATTGAGCCACTGCAGCACAATAATATTGCCCTCTAGTGGCATCATAACTGCACTGCAACAGTTAAAGAAAAGTGAAATTAAAGAATAAACATTATGATTCTCTGAACTTTTAGAAATCTAAGGAGAAAATGCATTTAGTGTTAGTAGGATAGGTTACTTAGTTGTGTCTGGCCAAAAATCTTAAACTACTCAAGAACACAAGAATTTCTACATTCTAACTCAAGGAAAATGATTGTTCAAATGTGAAAAAAACAAAAAAAAAAGGAAATAAAAATTATTAATACTTTTCTTTCTATATAAATAAGCTGCTGCTCATATCTCTCCTCTAGGTGACAATGTCTATGTCACTTTGGACACTATCAAAGGCAACAGTATGAGCCAGTGTGCGAGTGTGCATACAAGCTTTAGTGTGTGTGTTTTTCTGAGTGACTTCAGCCTCCTTCAGTGAAGTGAAGTGGGGGCAGATTTAAATGAGTAAAGAAAACTACCCCCCCCCCCCACTTCACCCCCCCNAAAAGTAAAAAAAAAAACCCCCCCCCCCCACTTCACCCCCCCGTCATTGTATGTGTATGTGTGTGACTTTAGCATACTCCAGTCTCATTGCACGCATTTCTTTCTGATACAATATTGAAAATCTCCCAATTCCCATCGACTGAGTTCCTTCCTCTCACTATATGTTGCATGATGTATGTGTGAATATGTGTGTATGAGGAGTAAAGGAGGTGTGATGAGGCTGCTGTGAGGCCCACATAAAGGTGGTGGTTTTTGGGGGGGGGGGGTGTCACATGGGAACCTTCCCTAGGCAATGATGGGGGGGTGAATTGAGAGGCACTGAGGTGGGGTTAATCCCCATTCACCCTGTCCTTCACTCAGCCGGGCCGGGCACAAAAAGCCCCGCCCGCCTCCCCCTGCGTCTCCACGGTGACCTCTGACCCCACATTTATGGCTGCTGTCCCTGGGCCCTTTATGCCTCCATTCTGTGATTATCTGCAATATTTACTCCTTTTGATTTCCCTGCTGGCCATTGTCGTCGCCCACACAGCTCTCCTGACTGACTGGAAAACTCAAGTGCTCTCCTTCCTATTCCAGCGTCACCCCTGAAACCTTAAAACCCACAGCAAACACTACCTGAAGTGGGAATGAGTCAGCTTACGACCACTTATTTATGACTTCTTGATTTAGGCGACAAGGAGCTACACAGAGGAGCAGCAGTCAGTAATGGACTAAGTCAAAGAAGTCCTGTTACAGAGGTGTGCCTGTGGCCTAGTGGTTGCCATGTAACTGCAGCACCCCTGGTACGATTTCAGCTGTGGTGCTGTGTTGCATATTTTCTGTCTGTCTGTCTCTATGTGTCTCTGTTAAATATCCAATATAAGCAAAAATGGAAAATTTTCAAAAGAAAAATCTTAAAAGTCTGTTACATTAGAAAAATGTTTGTCCTGAAGCAAAACACCTAACTGCCTCTTCCACGAAAAACCACTCACTTCTTAAACCATGTCATCAGCCGCTTACAGCATTTCTACAGCAACACACCACCAGTGTACTGCCAGCAGTATAAGTCCCTGAACTCATCAAATTTTTGGCAGATTAACCTTGAATCTTCACCCCTTATATACCTGTATGTGGTGATAAGATGGATATGTTGCTAGCTATGCTGCCATGCAAAAAAATGTTACTTGGAGACAAAGTATAAGTGAGTATGCGTTTATATGCACAGATGCAAGACAAGAAAAGGATTCTTAGCTCAAGAAATTGGACTGAGAACGAGGGGAAATGATTCAGTTGAGTTTTTATATATAGTAGTTGTATTATATGTACAACCAAGCTAGTAAATTACAGTTGAACCTTATTGTCTGCGTGGATTTTTGAGAAAAACAGATTCATAGTAAAGGAAACAGAACTGAAAGAAAAAAGACTAACTTAAAAAGACTAAAACAGAAACCACAGAGACCAAGATAAACAGACTTTGGAGATGAAAGAATCAGAGAAAAGAAGAAAAAACAAATGTTTGTGTGCATGTGCATGTGTAGTATGTTTGTGTACCATAAATAGCCACAACAGGCCATACTTTAGTCGAAGCCACAGTGGAAAGGACTTAATGGGTTGAAGCAACCCGTCACTCCTCCCCCTCTCTCACTCTTGCCCCTTTTCCCTTCATGGCTTTTAGACACGCAACTTCCATCTCCTTTTAAAAAACACAAATTAAACAAAAATGCACTGAAACTATGTAATATCAAACATGTTTCAGAGACGTGGAGACAGACCATAACTAAACCAAACCACAGCCTCAGGAACAAAAAGACAGATGGACAGACAGGCAGTCTGAGCACGCTCACTATGGACCTTAATGTGGATTTGATGAAGCTGAAGTTTAAAATCTTTAGGGGGCCTGTGCATACAGCCCCGCTGGCTGCTGGGCCTCTGGGTCTAGAGACTCCACCTCCACCACACTGCATCTCAGACACACACAAACGAGCAGTGTATTTTTGAAGTGACAACTACACACTACATACGTACCCTAGATACACACAAGATTGCTTTGCAGGGAGTAAAATATTAAATCTCCATTAAGTTGAATGAAAACAGGCACAACGTGAATCCACAGCTGAAATACTAAAAGTGTGTTGTTGGCACAAAGTGCTGGTGCAGAAATAAAGGTTGCCACCAGAGATGTTAGATTAACTGCACACAAACAAAAATGTGTTGAAGGAGAAGTCAAACTTTGAAAGGATTATCTGTTCAAATGAATATAAACTATTACTTAAACTTGGTTAAAGCTTACATAGTGGACAAATAAACCTCTAATAACTGAGGTTCATTTATTGCAAATGAATTTGCAATTAACGAAACAGAAACCTATTATTCATTTAAGGCTGAAGGTGACTGTTTTGTTATAGATTCACCTTTGGCTTCAAGAATAAAGACAAAAAAAAACAACAAGTTCATTCAAAACCTTTAAATTAAAATCAACAAATTTAATTCAGTCATTAAAATGCATAGATGAAATACTAAAAAATGTGGTTTAAATAAATGTCCTCAGATTTCTCAGGGTGAATCATAAGTCCTCTTCTTGTCATCTCACATGAGCAGACAAGGAAAACCACCCTTCTCGCTCTCTCTGCTTTTCCATCTGTTGAGAAAATGTGTTTTAGAGTTTTAGATTCCAGTGATTAGTTTGGTGAAATCTGAGCACATCCATGTAATTTGCAGTTTGTGTGTGTGTGTGTGTGTGTGTGTGTGTGTGTGTGTGTGTGTGTGTACCTGTGTTTTGCCATCACTGGTTTCTCCTCCAAATCTGTGAGCAGACGCTTCAGAACCAGCAGATCTGCAGCAAAGAAAAACATTAATGTAAAATGTACAGAAGAGTCAGCCCTGTTCTTACTAACCACACTCATTCAGTTCACTGAAAAACTACATCCACTACATGAAAAATAACAAATGTCAAATCACAGATAAAATGTCAGTCATTACATTATTATTCAAGTGAATTTAATATGACTTAGGCAATATGATAATACATACTCTTTTGTTTTACCCCTGTAATGGATTTTTCTAATCTATGTTAACCAAATATGAACTTCAATGCTCAGAAATCATGTAACCAAAAGATATGAATCCTCATGTTCTATTGTTGACGAGAGTCCACATATCTATTTCATGTTTCAGTTCAGTTCAGTCAGTTAGCCACTAAAGTAGGATTTATACTCCTTCAGAACTGCATGTCAGATGGTTATTACTGTGGGCAGTTGATCAAATTAACTGACTCCTGGGTTTCAGCTGGGCAGATAATATAAGATGATTTCAGATGTTTTGTCTATCGCAGCCCAAGCTTGTGATTTGTGACTTGTGAAAAGTTCTGGGGAGTCCATCATTTCCAATACTTGTCGTTAGCATCCTTCTCATCCAGCTGAGCTACTCACCGTCTCTCACCACCAGCCTGTGACAGAAGCTCCTGAGCAGGCAGCAGCATGGACACCTCAGGACTTCCTCCTCCAACTGAGAATGATATGATTACAATTATTTTTATTTTTTTTAACCATCATAGATGATCAGATAGACAGAGACACGTCAGGTTGGCCCAATGTACCTGCTGTATGTGGGCTCAAGGCAGAGGCAGGAATGGGCGAGACAGAGGGAGAAACTTTGGAGGAAATAGACTGTTTCTGTTGCTCGATAAGCTCCAGCAGTCGACCCCTGGCTGCTGCACTCTGCCTGTTTAGCTCTAGGAGGCGCTGTTCCACTTTGTTCACACTGAAAGTGTTGGGAGATGTTGCCTGAGCAGGAAAGAGGAGAAAACAAATCCTGAGTGAATATGATCAACGCTGAAAATGATCTATTGGTAGCTCAGCGGTTTCACATATTATTCACCTCTCTCTGCCAATCTCATGTGTTTGTTGAGTTTCAAAGTACCCAATGAAGAACAAGTAAAGAAAGGCTGTAGGCAAAAAGGATGCTGATCTATCTATGAGAGATTGCTCTATTCCAAAATTAGTATTGTCTTCTAATTTGTTTAATTAGATGATTATAAAAAACAGTGCGTTATCTGTGGAAGAGGATTCTAACAAATTTTATTTACAAAGCCTGGAAAAATCCCAAATCAAGTGGGGACTCAATCTAACCTGATGAGTCACACTGTCAGTGACCTGGATGTTCGGGCTCTGTCTCCCTGTGCTGCTGGACCCCGATGTCCTCCTCTCTCCAATACTCCGAGGTGTAATTCTTCCAGTGCTGCTACTGTTAGGCGATCCTCCGACCCCTGACCCGGGGCTCTTAGCCTGGCTAAGCTGGGCCCTGATCAGGTCGTTCTGTCTGCTCAGCTGAGAGATCTCAGCCAGCATGGCCACTGGATGGAGCTGTGAGGTGAGAGGGTCAAACGTCTGAGATAGTGAGGAGGTGGAGGGAAGGCTGGTGAGAGGGAGGCTGGTGAAGCTACAGGCTGAAGTCTGGGCTTGGATGTCCTCACAGGAACGGAGGTTATCTACAGAAGGAAGCTGCTGGTGCAACGGTACAGGATGAGTCACTGTGAAAAAGAGAGGGAAAAAGCTAAATTAATCTTCTTATGTATGATTGAGGGAGGATGACATTGGTGGAAACTGTTGAAATCAGACAATAACTGAAAAGAATGAGACTGTTACCAGGAATATGTTCCCAGTTGTCTCTCTGTCGGGGCGGGGAGAGCAGCACGGCAGGAGAAACAGAAGCTCGTCTTCGCTCAGGAACAGGTGCAGACTGACAAACTGTAATTCAGCAAAATATAAACCAATTATCCACCATTTACAGTACCACATATAGATCCACACACACACACAAGCACACGCACATGCACATATACGCACACACACTATATGAACCTGCAGCTTTGACATCAGAGTCTTGGGGTGGGTCTGTGTTTGCTTCCAGTAGTCCAAGTCCCCCAATCACCAACACCACTGCATCCACCTTCTGCTCCAGCTCTGCGGTTCGCTGCTGCAACCCTGCCTGAGAGGAGGCAATGAGTAATTAACAAGATTTATCAGTACAGTTGGAATCTGAATAATAAACTAGCGTAAGACCACGAGGTAATCTCTGATGCACCTGCAGGGCAGCAGCCTCCTCTTTCAAAGTCAAGGTCTCTGCAGTGAGAGCATCAATCAGCCCCCGTTGCTCTCTCAGCTCCTCCTCCAGTCTTCTCCTCTCCTGAGCTTCTTTCTGAACTTCATCCTCAGTCTAGCACAGAGGGGGAAGAGAATGAGTTAAGTTAAAACGGATGACATTAAAGTAAACACTATGCCTGCTTTGAGTATCCTGAGTCATGTTATTATTGCTTGACAACAGATTTACATCAAATGTCTACACTGCATTAATCACTATGCATCAATTAATCAATAAATTAACTTTGACAAAAACAAAATGATCTGAAGCTAATGTCTAAAATGCTTCAAAAAGTTAGAAATCATGTAAGTATACCATATGTGATAGTGAGACTGAGACTGACCCAGTTACTTCCCTGCCTTGTTCATGTACGGTAACTGTGTATATGACAGATTAATGGAGATATCATTGATCTATTGCTGCACCTTTTTGAGGAGGTGCACTAAACGTCCGAGCATGGAGACCAGTGCGACAGAGAATCCAGTGAGGCCTTGTGTTCTGTGCTGTTTTGGACTCTGTGCTGACCCTGGTACTGTGTCAGGACTCAGAGTATCCAAGTCTGCCTCCACCTGACCCAACATGGCCTGCAGCAGGCTCAGACTAGACTGGTCCCCACTGAGAGAGGAAACACAGGAGCCATCCAGCACTGAACTCTGAGAAGTACACTTCCTAGTCCTGCTGGTTTGACTGCTGATCCTTCCTGTGAAACACATACAAAGAAACACAAAAAAAATTCTCATATGATGGCATTTAAACATTGAGTATTTCATTTTGAAGAAAGACAACCCCTTCCAGATATTACCTGACTGGATGTGAGGCTTGTCAGGGTTCAGGACCTGAGTAACCAGGACAGATGGTTCCTCCTTTGCTTCCTCTGACTGGCTCTGTCTGGTCCGAACACGCTGAACAGCCACTGTGGCATTGAGAGCTGAAACAAGGTGTGATGAGTTTGCATGTGTTGTAGAACTTTCACATCTGATATATATATATATATATATATAGTATATGTTTCATTGTGGATTGACTGCATAAAATAAATAAGCATGAAACATTTCCTTTTAATCCAACACACACCCTTGGGGGAGCTCACTTGCTCATCTTACCTCTTTGGTCTGGTGCTCTGCCTGATGTGCAGGGGGTTGAAGGAACACTAACTCTGTTTCCCTGCTCAGAGATGGGACGATGGATTTTCTGCTGCTGTTTCACTCTACCCCGAGACAGTGCCTTCATTTTTCGTACATTGGCCCTGCAGAGAAAAGTATCAAGAGGGACGTGGTGGTGGTGAAACTAAGTAGTAATCAATAAAACCTTCACTGTTATATTTTCCCCCTAACAAGAAACACAAGTCAGTTTCTTATCTCAGATTGTGGTGGTGCATACTGTTTTGCAGGCATTAGTACCTTCGGATTACATGATATTCTGAACTGCCAGAATAGGCATCTTCGTCACTGTGGTCTTCCTCTGAAGCTTCTAGTTCATTAAGAGCCTGGAATGAACAATTCAGCACATGCAAACATGTTAATACAGACCAGAGTATTTATGCAAAAAATGTAAACTTATGATAAAATAGACTTGCAGTGCATTAGCTCTTAGTACATTATCATATGGAAAATTAGATAGGTGGATGAAAGTTGGTGACAACATACTGTACAGTATCATATCACAAATTTATAACATTATCTTGACACACACAAACCTGCTGGTCCATCATAGACTGGCTGAGCAGTGACAGCTGAGTCGGAGGATCTGGTCTCTGAAGAACAGGCATTTCTGAGTCTGAGTCACAGTTTGGAGCCATGGTCACACTGGGATGACCTGTCAAAATACACACATGATTATTTGCACAATTAATAAATACACATACCAGCAGCGACACTTAATCTTTCAATATGTCTTTTTCAATGACATAAATGACAATGAATAGGTGTGTGAATTACAATCTAAAGGCAGGAAAGACTAGTATTTACACTATCAAATCACTGCATCCAAGTATCTATATTACAGAACAAGTTGTTTGCTACCAGTCTGCCTGCGTGGGGCATCTCCAAACAGGTCCTTGACCACAGCCATGGCTCTGTCAGAGCGGGCCAGCACATCCTGCAGCAGCAGCTGGTCAGAGAAAACCTGCAGCATTACAAAGATCCACAATTATCATGTTAAACTCAGTACAGGGGAAGGGTTTGGTTTTTTGTTTCTGTTTAACAAACAAACTATATTCCTTCTCCTATAAACGACATCACGTCAGCACAGAAGACACTACAAGTAATGGGGAAATCATCGCCACACACACCTCCCTGATGATGCTGAGGCTGGCCTGGTCCAGAGGTGCAGGACTCCCACCATGTCTGAGACGGCGTTTTAGAGCTTTCTCTCTCAGCTCCCACTGAGCCGCAACCTTGTTGTGGGACTTGTGAATCTCATGCCGATGACTCTGCAACAGAAGAGAATAATCAGGCAAGTGCATATGGACTGCAACAAACATTTATTTTATTATCCATTAATTTAGCAGTTTCTTAAATAATTAACCAAAAACTGAGCCTATAAAATTTCAGGACTGTTGACAAATTACTGCTACAAGTTACAAAATAAAGTGGTGCTGTAAAAACTCAAACTAAGAATCATCTGACTATACTCATGTTCAATTGCTATTATAGTACATAGTATGATATAAAACAGCATAAATTCATTCTCTAGTAAACACGTCACACAAAAAGGCAGTTTCCATAAAACAACACCACAGTCAAACAACTTACCAGCTCTGCAGGTGTCAGCTTGTGCACAGACAGGTCATTGACAGTGCTCTGAAACCAACAATGGACAGCTGACATTAACAAATTGCTCAGTGGACAGTTAAACAAAAGGTGTTTTAACACAAACAAAAATGAGTATTGTTTGTGAAGGGGTGGAAGATTACTAGCAGATTAAGATCAAGGGAAATAACTCATTTAGGAGTTAGACTACATATATTGAAAACTTCACTGTGTTCTGAATATGTTCTGAATAAGAATTGCTGCCAGTTGAATGCTCTCAAAAAGTAGTGATAACCGTTTCTTTATGAAAAAGAAAATAGTGTCTACAGATTACTAGGGTTAGTAATCCACAAAACATGAGTGGACTCCCAAAAGGTGCGCTACTTCAACAAAAAAGTCTATTTAAAGAATGGATTCTTAAAAAGCAACGTAATTGTAACTGAGTAGCCTACTTGCTTTCCTGGTTTCTCTTCAGCAGTTGTCTGTACTCACCACCCACTCTCTTTGGGGAGCTGCTGCCTTCTTGGGACGAACAGGCCTTTTTCCTTTGCTGTGTTGTTGTGGACGCCCCACTCTCACAAACGACATCTGTTTACAGGTGATATGAGGGGGGTACATAGTTCACATCAGAAAATGTTGTCTTGTAACCGAGCTATAGTCTGCACACGTACTACTCACTGGTAAATGAGACCAACTAATGACGACTTAAGCTAGCTCTTAGCTACGTTTCCTTCCTAATTATCTGAAGTTTGAGCATCACCCACTGTTAATTGAGCTAGGATGCACAGCTTTGCCTTACGTTAGCTAAAATGTGTTTTGCTACATAGCTAGCCAAATACTGAAATAGCACTTACGTTTTACGCTCTGTTATGAGAACAGCGTGTCAAGCTGTTTGTAATTCTGCCACTTTGGCTTTGAGGTTGACGAAATTAAACAGTACAAACTCTCCTTCAGTTTGTTGTGTGACAGTTTTTCAACAGTTGCGCGCCACTTCCTTTGCTGTTGCCACGGACACCGCTTCACGCTGGAGCATGACGGGAAATGAAGTACGAGTGGTAAACGGTGGTGAGCAAGGAGGACCACTGGAAGAGATATGATTCACTTTTTCTTAAAAAAAAGACCTACAGCAAATGCTTCTTGTCAGTTCTTATACCATGATAGACTTTCATGATTGAAAGTAGCTATGTACATTTACTCAAATACTGTACGTAGGCTACAAATCGACGTACATGTACTCTACGTGAGTATTTTTCTATTTTATGCTATTTTGCCTCTTCTCCACTGGTCTCTGGAGAGTTTTTACTCTGAAAAAAATGCATACTGGGAAATTTGCTAATATGCTGCTAATTCTTTGAAAACTTAATTTAAATTTATGGACAATATCTCAAAATACATGAAATGCAGAATACACAAGTTCTCAAACTTGTACTTAAGTAGCTTGAGCAAATATCCATTGTTACAATCCAGTATTGGTAATAACAACATTTATATCACATTTTGAATGTCAGGCCAAACCATGGTTCAATTCGGGCTGAAGTCTAGTGTAGTTCAAACTGTCACTGGACAATTTAACAGCATGTACCAGCACGATCTCGAGCCCTTTCAAAAGATTATGAAACTTGAATCGATCATTTATTCTCTTACTTGTCCATCTGATGGTTTTTCCAGATGTTTGCAAATGAGCAAACATCTGGCCACACCACTAGATGGCAATGTCACCATGCAAACCCCCTTTTGGTGTGCGCAGAGGAGGGATACCTGAGGGCGCAGTGCCAAACTGACCAAACTCTCAGCTGCTGCTCACCAGGAGAAAACTGAAACTGACAGACAGGTTTATTCAACTCAAAGCTGAGGTCGGCCAAGTTTCACTGAACTTTGGGGCAATTTGCTCCAAGCAAATCTCTGATTTTGAATGATGGGAGAAGCTGTGCCAAATGATAGCAATATATGACCGGAAACAATGAATATCACCTTCAAAATAAAAGCACAACTGTGTGATCATTTTAGTAGTGATTGACATAAAAGTTGAGTAAGAGTTGGACCTAAATAGACAATAATAAAGCGCAATGATTGCGATTAATCACAGCAAATACATCTATAAATAAAACTAGTGAAACCAATCATAAATGTCTCTAAGGCAGATCTGAAATGAATGAAAGATGGAAACAAGGATAGTCTGGGGGGGGGGGGGGGGGGGGGGGGGGGGGGGGGGGGGGGGGGGGGGGGGGGTATAGGTTTTTCATTTTCTATATCCTAACTAACTCCGAAGTATTTTCCTATTTAAAGTACTCAACAAAGTTGCAACATGCACATTGCGTTGTGTGTTTCGGCGGTTTAGTTTAAATAGCCCACTTGAACAGGAAGTTGTAGATTATTGATTGTAACTTAACACTGGTCATTCCAGCGGTTTATTGTTGTATTACGGAGAGGTGTGTATTTGCATCTGACTTTTTTACACGCCCCTCTCACTCTGACTCTGGTGGGATAGACTCTGCGCGCTTTGGTTCAATCTGGTTAGACTGATCCAGACTTGGTTGACTGACTTCTGACGCCCAACAATGCATACCGAGCCACAAAAGTTTGAAAAGTTATCATTACGCACGGGGCTCGCGGTGAGGGGACTCAGGAGTGACAGCAGCTGTGCGCCCATGGATCAGACTACAAGTGGTGGTTTCTCTGCATCCCTGTGGAAAGTCATTTGAAGAGTCAGGAGGAGACATGAACAGCGTCGCTACAGTGCCAGAGGAGAGCCATTAGTCTGTCAGTGTTGGATTTACCAGAGCTCAGAAGGCTTACAGCTGGAATCTCTATAATTTCTGACAGTTTTGCCTCCAGTAGCACAATTAAGTGTGTGAACAATTCTTGGATAATAACCTACACTGCAAAGTCACTTTTGGAGACGTTGGATCTGAATTACGCACGGGATTCCTCTAACAAATGAAAGCTTCTAATTGTTTTGTTGCTCTTCCACTTCATCCCCTCAGCTCCCTTCATCGCACTGATCAACCGTATAAGCCCCTTCACCAGGTTAGACGCGGGGAGTGAAAGCCTCGCTGTCCCTTCCAGTAAGCCAGCGTGCGGCCGCGGGCCACCTGGCCGAGGATGTGGGGAGGAGGATTCCCGATGTCTGGCACCGTGATTGTGACAATGCTCCTGGTCATCATCGACGTGAAAGCCAGTGGGGAGTATTGTCACGGCTGGCAGGACTCCCAGGGCGCGTGGAAAGAAGGGTTCCAGTGCCCGGAGAAGATCGACGGAGAGGACGCGATCATTTGCTGCGGGAAATGCGAGCTGCGCTACTGCTGCTCCAGCACTGACGCGCGGCTGGATCAGGGGAGCTGCGATAACGACCGGCAGGCTCAGGAGCCAGGCACAGAGACCAAGGAGAACAAGGACTCCGGCGCAGGTATTAGCCCTCAACTTCTACTGCTGCTACTACAAGTACTACCACACATATTATGGATATTGAAAAACATAATCACTACTTTTTGCAAATATGCTTAAAGTAAATATGTTGATACCAGTTTACAAAAAGGCCAAATGCACTCCAAAGGGAGAGCAAAAGAAATTCAAAAAGGCAACAGCAAAAAGCGTAAATATATAGAAAATAAAATTTAGAAGTGATTTAGTGAACTGGTGGCCTGGATATGTTGGAAGTTCGTTTCAGGGTATGGAGACTGTCAAAGTAAAAGCCTGTTATATTCACTGTGATTTATGACAAAGAAAGACTCAGTGAAGTGACTGTCGTGTCTCTGTTCACTCCAAAATGTTAATTAGTCTCAGCTAAATCTTTTAATTCATTTAAAAAAAAATAGATTCCATATTTATACAATAGAAAGTAATGTATAAACCAAATTCACATATTAAAACGGCAGCCAGGTGATGTACAGTGGGATTCAAAGGTTTGAGACCACTCTCTCAATCAGGAATACGTGTTTATTTGCATATAGAGCGGGGAAGTGGGATCCGATCACAAGTGGTCACTCGAGACGCATGTGGAGACGCCAGGTGTGAATTGACGCGCTTAGAGCTGTCCACTGGTGATCGGATCACCCGAGACGCATGTTAATGTCAGGTCTGAACGGAGCCTAAGTGAGTTAACGCCATGCCCAAGGCGCATCCACAGGATGTCTTAAATTTGATATTGTAAATTGCAGACCTATTAGAAGCTTTGGTTTCCTCTCATAAACCCAACACACCCGCGGTATCTCCCTGTTAAGAGGTTCATCTGCTGCTCGCCCCGGTTGGCAACGACAGCTGCACAGGAGACAGCAGACTCCTCCAAAAAACCAGTTAACTGCACTCACAAATGGCATACTGTGCCGTGCTGCAGCACTTTATAAATAGCTGTGTTTGTTCTGGCCTGTAACAGTGCAAGAGGGGGCCGGGCTCAGATCACGCTGTCCCCACGGGGATCAAGTTTGGACTTGACCGGATCTTGGACAGTGGCTCACCAAAGGCGCTGACAGCTCTGTTCATAAAAAACACAAATCGCGTTATGTATCATTTCCTACCAGGCTCATGGAGTCCTTTTCCCATCGTCAAGTTGCTGCTGTAATCCCCTCACTGCAGTCTCCCTGGTGTCTCTGAGCTCTCAAGGGATTCATACTCTGATCTGCTTTAAACACATATACATACATAAAAACTGCACTTAAGAGGAGCACCATTACCAAAACATACAGTATAACGCATATTTTCCAACTTATATGGTATACACATGTTTTTCTCCATCCTGGCTCCCCATTCATCAGTGCTTACATTCCCATGTGTTAATCTACCATAAAGCCTCTTGAAGCTGCATCTTGAGTAAAAGATCAACAAGTTGATAACAGCACTCCAGAAAAATAGAGCAAATATTGGACATCAGAGAAAAGGGCAGCACAGGCTTATTTCATGTTTCCCTGGAGGATATTATGCCTTCTTTTGGACCTCCAGCTACAATCTGTCATTTGCTAAGACTGTCATGCCTTATCACTGCAGGAAGAGGTATATACATTTCATTCAGTGGCCTCCAGCCAACATAACTTAAAGAAAAGCAGCTTTTTCCTCACTAAGAAAAAAGGGAATGTTTTTTTTCATGGAAAGCCCAGCTCAGTTTGTGTATTTCATTCATTTTTCATATGCTTGCAGCTTATTAATCATCCAGGAAAGATACACACTGTAATGTCAATGGGTAACAGGCAGGAAATTATTAATGTGCTCAACATGAGGGAACATATGGTATTTAGGAACAGAAGAATGCCCGTGGGATAGGAGAGGGAGAGACGAGGGAGAGTCCGGCCGGCCAGCCACAAAGGCTGTGCCCAAAACAAGAGCTTTAGGAGAGGGGGCTGCTGTAACTGCGGCATGGCTGCCACAGCTTAACTGCAGCAACAGGTGTGGAGGAGTGACAGGGAACAATAGGAGGGTTTCAACAACCATGTGCACTGAGAAAATCACACATACCAAGAGGCAAAGAATTGAGTTCTTTTTTTTCTTTTTAACTTTGATAAACAGTCAGGTAGCCTATTGAATTTGAAGTTTTTCATTTTGGATCTTGTGTTTTCTTGTTCAGTGGTAGAAAATTATTATGTACATTTAAACCTCACCACTACATTTAAGAGGGAAATATTCCATATTTGTGTTAGCAGGTAATCCCAGACCTGGATATAGCAGATAAAAAGAAAAACATAGTTAGACATAGCAAATAACTTAGAGTAAAATTTTACAATGTATTAGAATCTTATAAAACACAGATCATTATTAAATCGGTGGGTCCTTTTTGGCTAGTGACCCCTTACAAAACGTAGCATCTAGTTAGAGCCTTTTTTTTCATGTTTTACATCTGTTAGTTGTTAGCATTTCCACCTTGAAGTGATTTTTCCTCTAAACTTAAAGTAACGACTTAATTGGGCCCAACAAAGTAAAACTATCCAATATTTCACAAATAAACAAATAAAAGTGTTTTGGTTTGTCAAGCAAAATTTAGCTTTTAGCCATGGAGGCCAATGTTTGTCTGTTGGCCAGTGTCGCCACTTTGGTTCAGACAGAAATATCTTGGCAACTACTGGAAGGATTGTTATAATATTTTTTAGATATTTGTGGTATTGGAGAATGAAACCTACTGATGTTGGAGCTCTCCTGACTTTTTCACTAGCATCACCATAAGGTTCATATTTTAGTGCTCTTTCAAGTTCAAAGTTTTAATTTGTCAGATACTTTGGTTTGTGACTAAATACCCTCAAAACTACCGACATTCCCATCAGCCTCAGCTCTACTTTGTGTTCAGTGCTAATTTGCAAATGTTGGCATGCTAACCTGCTAAACTAAGATGGCGAACGTGGTATCATTATATCCGGTAAACACATCAATGTGTTTAATATTGTCAATGTGAGCATGTTAGCATGCTGATGTTAGCACTTAGCTCAAAGCACCACTGTGCCTTCTGTACAGCTTCACAAAGCCACTAACATGGCTACAGTTTTTTTTTTTATAGTGTTGTTTCTTCTTTCCTCTCCCATCAATCAGTTCATAAGCTTCCAGATTTATCTTGTTGGAAGGGCCCAGTCCACTGGAAACCGCTGGACTAAACTAGTTAACAATAAAGTATTCAAAACTAGCCCTACCTCGACTCTAGCAGCAATGCTTAAATGCTTAAATATTGCTTAAATGCTGCCCACACACTGATGCATCACTATTATTTTTGACTTTAAGTACATTTTACTGATAATACTTCTGTACTTTTCCTGAAGTATGTGTTTGAACACAGGGCTTTTACTTGTACCAGACTGTTTTAGATTGTTGTATTGGTATTTTTTACTTAAGACAAGGATCTGAATACTCCTTCCAACATTCTGCATGCTGAACTTTAAATGGTGATTTTTTTTTTCCCCTTCATCACTGATTTACTGTTCAGTATTTTGGAAAGGAGCACCACAGTGAAAGGGATGAACTAACACAAGAAGAAAGTTTTTGCGATTACTAATCCTCATCAACCATGCAGAAAAAAGGGAGTGCAAGCAGAAATGTTGAGGTGGAGGCAATGTAAGTGCAGGAAAAGAGGGCAGTGGAAGGCTCCCTGGGACATTTCTGCTCTTGTAACTTATATGTGTTGCCATAACAAGAGTTCCTGTTAAAACCTGTTTACTGGAAGGTGCGCAGCTATGAGCTACATTAGCCTCTGAAGTTGACACCGCTTCTTGTCAAAGGGAAATGGGTCAAGGTCCTAGCTTGCTTCATGTCGCAAGAGTCTTGGCCTCTTATGCCGCTGGCCTGTGTCTTTTGTCACCTGGACTTAGCGCCTGAGCCAATGAATGTCCTCCAGCTCTTAACAGGTTTCATGCAGTAATCCTTTTAATACCCTTCGACTTTTGATGAGCATTTTGAAAAGTTTCTGAAGGCTGTATGGATGTATTTCAAAGAGCCCAGAGACAAAAGGAAACTGGAGCCGGTTGCCACCTCTCTCTCTGGCATACAGTTACACCTCATAACACATGGGCACATTCAAAGCAGAAAATAAGTACACCCTGTGGGAACAATAACACACAACTAATCACTTATAATGTAACATGGTCGTTATTGTGTTCGTAAGGTGTTTGTGAGTGAGCATGGGAATGGCCGATTGAGGAGAACACCTCAGGAGTGACCTCATCTTTGCTTGTCACCCCGTTTCTGCCAAAAACATTCCTTCTGTGCCGTTTCTATTTTGGCGAAAAGGTACAGTTAGTGAAACAATGTGATTTTGTGATTTTGTGAAGGAAAGTTATTGTTGATCATGTTTCAAAGTTGCTGTTGGAGCGTCTCCTGCTCTCCTTGTAAATTTACAGTCTGAAATTGAAATCTTCACATATAAAAATGTCAAGACTTTTACCTGTTATTAATGCCTTTGCTGTTCAACCTGGCAAATGACACTCTGGCCGGTGGACCAGTGAGAGTTACACAAGTGTTTTGTTGCGAGACTGATTTGCTGTTTTAAACAGAAAGAAAGTAAAGGTCAGCGAGAAGGGAATAGGCTTCCTCCTTTGATATAAAGGGCTGAGTAACCTCACATTCTGCTATATTAAATCAGTCAGCTTTAATACCCTTGTTTAAACAGAAGCCAAGTATTGTAGTTCAACTTGAGTAACTTATTTTCAAAGGCTTGGTCATAAATAGCTAAAGAAAAAGAAGGGTCGCAAATATCTGCTGGCAGCGCGGTCCGGCTTAAGAATGTCACCCATGCAAACACACACACACACACACACACACACACACACACACACACACAGGTCTGTAGGGTCGAGGAGGCTGGGGACACAGCAGGGTGCGCAGGATTAAAACAGATCAAAACAAAGTTAATAACTGTTAATGAGAGCCTGGGGCTCCCTGGGGACCCAATCCCAGTGTACCTTTCATTCTTCTACTCTAGTCCAAACACTCCTCTCTGCTCAGTCTTTTGTTTAACTGTCTTACCCAATCTCCACTCACAGGTAGGAGCTTTGCTTGTGCAGGGAAACAAGACATGAGTGTGTGAGGCGGTACTGCTTTGAAGTTTAATGTTCAACTTAGAAGTCAGTATTTTGCCACCAAATCAGTCATGTGAATGTGTCTTCTTCTTCTTCCTCTCTCTGCAGTGCCCATTTATGTGCCGTTCCTGATCGTGGGCTCGGTGTTCGTAGCTTTCATCCTGGTGGGATCTGTGGTCGCTGTGTGTTGCTGCCGCTGCCTCCGACCCAAACAGGAACTGTCATCAGGAGGTGCGACAGGAGGAGCTGCCAGCGGTGGGCGCCTCTTGGAAACCATCCCTATGATGGCCAACACTTCCAGAGGCTCATCATCCCGCCAGTCCAGCACAGCCACCTCATCCAGCTCCTCTGCCCCACCCGCTGCGCCCCGCCCTGCTCCCCCTCAACTCATGCGGGCTCAGGCCTCTTGCTGCCTGCCGCCTGACGCCAGCGTCTTCGTCAACATGCCCACCAATTTCTCTGTACTCAACTGCCAGCAGGCCACCCAAATCATGCCTCACCAGGGGCAGTTCTTACACCCGCAGTACATTGGCTATGCTCACCCTGTGTCCCCTACCCCAGCCTTCCTGGACCCCACCCAGGGAGGATACAGACCCCTTCAGTCCCCCTGCCCTCCTCCCACCGGAGGGTCCAGTGTCACCAGTGACCAGAAATACCCTCCAGTGACAGTGTGATGAGGGGCCAACATGCAGACCACTCTGCCACTTTGTTGTGAAGACTAACTTGTGAAGTTTAACCTGTGAGGGCTGTGCCACAGACCTTTTTGGGGATGCTGCCAGAGTGGAAAAAGAAAGGCAGGGAGTCAAACTCACATGAAGGACTCATAAAGCCATTGCTGGCAGCAGGGCCTACCCTGCTATTGTGTGTGGTGTGTCTGTTTAGTGTGTCATATGATCTCTTGCCAGACTGGAATGAGCTAAGCTCAGTCTATGACGGGGTAAGAAGGATGCATAAACAATTTTCTGTCTTGATGCAAAGATTAAACTGCATATTGGAGAGTTACACAGCCCAGACGGGTGATAATGCACAGCTAACTGCAGCCTGCAGCTCACATAAAGATTGTGCGTGTGTTTGTATGGATGTGTATGGGAGAGTGGGAAAAAGGATTTGTTGGCTTGTGTCTGCTTGAATGAGATGAGAAATGACTGGATGATTTATAGCAGTGGACTGTATGAGAAGTGGCTATTCAAGCAACAAAAAAAAAAAAAAAATTTTTGACCACATGCTGTGTTTATGCCATGTTCACATCTGCACTTGTGAACGGTTGTGAAAGGTTTATACAATACAGTATACTGTATGTTTGTGTTGAAAGAAAGTATGTGAAAAGATGTTTGTACTGTATGTGTGTGAGTTTGGGAGAGAGTGTGAAGTGTGGAGGGACGTGGTCGCATGAGTAACTGTGAGTGAACTGTGTGTAATGGGAAATGCAGGTGGTGTGATGTGAAAGGCAGTTGCAGTCTCCCTGTAGACCATTTAAACTCTAATGAAGTGAACACAGGACACAGACTGTGACGCTCCGCCCTCCTATACAACCTCCCTCCTGCCACCCAAAAAGAAAAAACACAAAAAACCTCTGCCCCATACTGCCCTGAGCGGAAACACAGACAAAAAAAAAAGAGAAAAATTTCATGCAAGGTTGGCATTTAATGTACCTGAGTGTGTGAGTGTGTGACAGAGGAAGAGTGAGAGGCAGCTCTCTTTCGATTACCGAGTTAATTATACAGCAAAAACTTTGCCAAATGTCCCCTTTACTTCTCTCCTGTGAGAGGTGTGTGTGCATGTGTGTGTATTTAACACTCCCACAGTTCAGTGCCTTAGCAGAGGGCATGGGCAGCTCCAGGGCAGCTTTGAGTCATTATTTTCCACTTAAGAAAAAAGGCACAGAAATTGCAGAAATTATTGGTAGTTAAAATAAATAAATAAATAAATAAAAGAGTGAAACTTGCATATTTTTTCCAGCCATTCTGAGTACTGTTGTGCAGCTGGGGTCACTGGTAACTCCTTTAATTCACCGGTAATATGCAACTTGAGGAATGTGCTGCTCCACTGAGTGTGCAGCCTGACCCATACAGTCCCATACCGTAGTATAGGAACCAGTATGTCTGTGTACCTCATCTGTACTCCAAGCACAATGTCTGTAAGATACAGTAGGCAGCTTGTGTGTGACAAAGTATCTGTAAAATGGTGGATGAACTTTGGTCCAATGTGTTTTCTTCCTCTTGTGAAATACAGTGATTTGTTACAGGGGTGACACTTTTCATATGAATTCTAAAAAAATAAAATACTTTTAAACCAGGAAGTGTGTGTCGAGAGCTTATGTTTCAGTATTTTATCACTGTCATAAATATTAAACAAGCAACGTTTTGTGTTTTAAAACCCAGGAGAGAAATTTCTGTGTTGCTGTTGTCCCACTGAGTGAGTGATACTTACACACCAACACATGGATACAAGGCTTGCTTTAAAAAAACAAAAAAACAAACAAAAAAACAAATGTGTGGTGAATGGATTTGCACAGACCTGTCTCAAATTCATAATCCCTTGAAACATAAAAACTCTCTTACTTCATCTATTAGAAACACAGACGGCTCTACCACCCGCAGAGGACAGAACAAATACCAGTCACATCACCTGCCACACAGAGACGAGGAACAATAAACCGCAACAACGGGCGCTTCAAAGCTACGGCGACGTGGAGGTGTAGTTTTGGCAGGCTCCTCCAGAAAACTCAGCTACGGTAATGTGGAAAAGCGGAGCGGGCCGGGCCGTTGGGGAGTCACTGGGGAGGAGTTGAAAAGCATAAATGGCTCCTGCTCGGCTGCGGACCGATGGATTCTCCATACTGGAGCAGCTGTAATCGGTTTGGGCTGGGCCGCATCCAGGAAGGTGGGTGGGAAAGGGATCTCCAGTTGGACTCCAGTGTCCAGGGGGCTGGGGTGTGCATTAATCGGCTAATGGTCTATCTCCAACAACTCCCCTGAGCTTGGAGGGAGCGTGGGAGAGGTTTGATTCTGATAGTATGAAAAGTCATATGCATCTGATGTACAAATCAAACCTTTTTGATCCATTTTCAAGCATAAAATGAAAAACCAAACTCCTCCCACTACACTGGAGCCACGGTATCACTCAGAAAACCTCACCTGATTGCATGAGTAGACAGCTTACAGTCAACAGACGGAGACATTTTGTCAGGCCATGGATTGATTAGATTTAATGATTAGGACTCAGATGGACAACCCCCCTCTCCCACCCCTTCAGTCTTGCATTCCTGAACCAGTGTCCTCAACACAGAGCACACAGACAATGGACTCTACATTCAGACAAATCCCAGAGCCAGAAAAACACATGATCCAGGCGAGAGTCTCAATCACATCCCGTCTGTTCGAACGCCTATTAGCACTAGTTCAAGTAAAATATTCCCTCTAAAACATGTCTTGACATATGAGTACAAAAACAGGCATTAATGAAAAGAGAAAAAAAATATAAACACATACACATTAATGTCCACTTTAATAATAATAAAAAAAAAAAAAAAAAAAAAAAAAGAACAGTCCAGTAAAGAGTGGGAATCCAACAGAAATGAGGAAGGAAGCGCTAATACCAGGCTCGCTGATTCTATGTCAGCTGACGATGCTAGACAGGCGGCATCAGGAATCACAGGAGCGGTCAACAAGGATTAAAAACAAGGAAAGACCAAGTGGATTTTTTTTTTTTTTTTTTTTTTTTTGGGGTAACTGGCCGGGAGGAGGCGAGGAGATGTGCAGCGGAGGAGGAGAGACGTGGAAGCTGCAGAGCGGCAAGGAGATGGAGAGATAGGAGGGAAGAAGTGAAGGGAGAGAAAAGCAAGAGGAGGTCCCAGTGGGGGTAGGAAGGGGTTGCAGCAGGGTGGTGGTCCAGTTTTTGGGTGTGCGCTGTGCCTCAGTGGCATCTCTGTGGTGTTTGGCAGTGAGGCTTGTAGCTGCGATGGGACAAAGTGGGGGGCTGTAGGCTGGAGGGGCGGGGGCGGGGCCAATGGAGATCACCCTTAGTGCAGGGCTCCAGTGGTCCTCGGTCTATGCTTCCCTCCCTCCCTTTTTAAGGAATTCATCTGCGCTTGCTTGCGTGTGTGTGTGTATGTGTGTGTGTGTGTGTTTGTGTGTGTGTGTGTGTATGTGTAAGCGTGAGTGTGTGTGTGTTTATTTTGACGTCCCTTCCCCTCCTGCGTCGGCATGTGATGACAGACTCATGAGATGAGAGGGAACCGTGGAAGCTAACACACAAACACACGCGGACCGACACACACATGCACACAAACACAGGAGCGCCAATGCGTGCAGACATACATGCACAGGCAGATAAATAATCACTGGAATGCACACACACACACACACACGCGCGCGCGCGCGCACACACACACACACACACACACATTAACACACAGTGGCATGATCCAAACCCAGTCTGAGGGGTATACAGATATGAGTAGCAGTCTGAGTTTGACCTGTCATGTCTGTGGATGGATATGATTGCTCATGCCTGTGCAGCTTGTGTGAGAGTTAGAATAAAGTTTATTCCGCATATTCGGCCTGGTCCCTTCTCTCAAGTCAGTCCTCCATGCGCCAGCGACGGCCTCCACACCTGACCGTGACCCCCACCCCCGACGAGGGGTCAGGTCGTAGTTCCAGTAAGGCCACAGCGGGGGTCGGTCACCCAGCGTGAGGGTGTCAGTCTGTCTCCGCTGTCACCTTGACAACTGTTGCTATGGTGAGCCAAAGCCTTGGTCAGGGGTGGGGCTAGACGCTGGGGCGCTGGCGGGTGGTGTCGTAGGAGCGCACTACCTGGGACTGGGACACCACGCCGTGCTCCTCCTGAGAGAAGGCATAGCCATCTGCAGAGAGAGAGAGAGAGAAGAAGAAGACATCGGATCTCAAATGATGAAGTGTGGGGTGTTCAGTGAGTGACAGGAAGAATGTGAACACCTTTACGATGGATTGGTCGCCGCACTTATTCTTTGTGTATTTCCATTATGATATTTGTATTTTTAGATTGATTTTATGTGTGAATGAATTGCTCGTGTGTGTTTGCTATCTCGCCTGCCTCAAATTGCTCCTTGAGGAACAACAGAAATATTTTGAATTGAATTGTAATTAAAATGATATTCAGTTTATACCATTACATAAGACACAGAATGCAGAACAGACTAACAACTGAGAATCTGAAACAACTTAATCTTCTGAACTTTGCTTGAAAATGACAATCGATCAATTTCTAAAATAGTTGCAGATTTATTTTCTGTTTATACACAAATCAATTAAATTTTTTCAGCTCTTGATTGCACTGGCATGTGCAGATTTGTGTGTTTATGTGTTCCTGGCCAAATATTGTCACAGTATACTATCATTATTAATCAGTGTTTTCTGGGCTTCATGAGGAGAAACAGGGATTAGCACTGCTTTCTCTCTCCATTCACTTCATGCATGGCACAGATATTAAAAAGTACACAAACAAGAACAAATCAGATTTTGCAAATATCTATGAAATGAACTCCTGAATCCTATTTTTACTGGCAGAATATACATTGGCTGTTGAGCTAGAAAGAGCTTTTTAAGACTCTTTATTTCATGTAATTAGAGTAAATGAAGAGACACACATCTCTTGGGTTTCTACTCACAACGGACTAATCTGGACTTAAATTATGGCCAGGAAGAGACATACAGTACGTTAGTTAGAGTATGAGGAAAAATAGCCTTAAGGCCTGTGTTGAAGCAGGACTTTGATATGTATGTGTGTTCGGACAGGACACTCACGGGACACAGTCTGCTGCACCGAGTTTGAGCGTCCTACACTTGAAGGTGTTTTCCTAAAGACTCTTGTCAGCAGATGGGCCCGCACGTTTAGACTGCAGAGAGAGAGAGAGAGAGAGAGGGGAAAGGAAGGACAGTTACTCCACGGTGACGACACATAATCGCTTGTTTACAGGGAGTTTAAGAGGGAATCTCCACTACTCTACTACACTGCTACACAACACCATTAGTGGCTACTGGAAAATATCTTTCAATCAGTGCCTGAAACTATCCACACATCCGAGGCAGCATGGTGATTAAGGAGCTGGTCCTCCAACCTTCAAGTGTCCTTGAGCAAAAAACGCCGCAGTACACCAGGCAAAAAGTAAATTTCACCAGAAAGTTTGAAGGAGGTGGAGGTTGGTAGGAGGTGGATTTGATATTGCTTTTGACATTCAATTTAACCCAACCGTAATTCATAAACTGCCTGCAGAGTAACAGGACATCCACAGTAAACTATTCCTCACTCCCCACTCCTCTCTCCTCTCCTCTTAACTCCCCCCTTTCCAAGAAGAAGACTGGATCCTCTGTTCTGAGACCACACGCCGTCATGGCTCCTCTCCTCCCATGACCAAAAATAACTAAGTCTTTTCCAGATTTTGCACACAAATGCACGCATGCACACACACTTGCTGAATTTGTAAACCTCTCTCCAGCCTCATCACCATCATTACAGCTATTAAAATCATTAGACAATGCCATTGGAAGTACACCGAACACTTGACATGTCAGGATGTTGATTTTTGCCAATTTCATTTGAAAGAACACATTTTTTATTTTTTTTTTATCTTATCTGCCAATGGAGCATTAAATTCACACAAGCGGGGTTTCCCTGGAACTAACGCAGCGGTGATGATGATCAACGAAGTAGTTATGGGGAAGAAAAGCAAGCCTCCCTGAGGTTAAAATTTGGAGCAAGCAGTTAGGAAATTCTTAACACTGTATGTGACTGTTGGGAACCTTCACTGGAGTGTGAAAAAAAAGAGAAAAAAACGAGGAGTTCTGAAGTTTGTTCAAGCAGTCTTTGGCCAAAGAAAGTTAGTACGACTCAAGATCTCTCTGTGATGTTTCATTCTGACTAGCTTCTGATTCAAAATGGTCCAAGGATGTGCTCCGTTTGAACTCTTCCCTGGAGACACTCCCGCACTCTACCTTTCCACCCCTTCCCCATGCCTACCCCAGGAACTAAAACACAGATGTGCTGTTTTCCATTTTGCTCCGTTGCATCTCTGCCCGACCTTACTTTACTTTTCTTATTCTAAATGGAGAGGGCCCAAGGATCCTGGGTTTAAATGCAGGGTCAGTCCAGGACGGGGGCCCGGTGTAAGGGTCAGGAGGAGCGCTGTGGTTACCCACCCATCCCTCCTCAACCTGAAAACATACCTCAGAGCTCTCCAGCTCTTTTCAAGAACTAACACTGCTCTGAGAAAAGCAGCTTGTCTTGGTTGACTCACATCTGACTCATTTTTACAGTAAATCT